CTTACAAAAAAAAATACAAGGACTGGGGAATGGGATGGCTTCCCCCTTCCCTTTTAAACCCGCCACTGATTTTGGTTTTTTTTTTTTCTTTTATTATTACATTTTAAGATTTTTTTTTTTATTTCATCACAGAAAATATAATTTTACATAGAGCAGAAATTGTGGTTTTCTGTAATTATCACTAGCTTAAATGTATTTTAAAATCACAATTATTTGTTCTTGTAATATGTTGGAAAAGTGAACATAAAAGAAATAACCATGAGAAAAAAAACCCAATCATCAATAATTAATGGATTACCAAGAACTAACTAATAATTTAACTATATTAATTGTGAGTTATAGCAGGCAAGTCCTATCAATGCATGCATTATTTTTTTGTGTTCAGTTAGTAGGGTGCCCTCAACCACTAATATTGTGTTCCATGCAGCTTTCGAAGCCCTGGAAGCTGTATTAATTCATCCAGGACCTACCTGACCGTATAGCATTAGATCGTATCTCTAAGGCTTTTCTGAGAGCTGCACCGAGGCCGGTGTCATCTTCCATTGCAGCGTCATTATTATCTCTTTCAGTTTGATCAACCTGGGATAGTAATGTGGGTATGAATGAGTATGTATCAGCATGATTCAACCCCATAGCAATGTGACACAATGAAAACTGATGCCCATGATGAACCCAACTGCACCCTTTCATATATAACCTAATGAATGTAAAAATAATTATACTCACCAAGAAAACCAACAAATTATTTTCCTTTATATTATGATTAAAAAAATTTAGTTCCATTTAATTATGAATCATTCCTGAAGATGACCTATTAAATGTCGAAACGTTGAATCATGGCTTTCTTCACTTTATTCGAAATAAAGTTTGTTCTATGTTTGAATCAAACGTCTATGTTTAAGTTCATTTTAACAAAAGAGCGAACTAACATGAAAAACCAATCACCATATTCATAGTGATGATAGATAAAGCCAAATTGAACCTAATTTCCTGATACTCGTTGGTGCTTTATGGAAAAATTCACAACCTTGTTAAAAATATTATTTTTGTTATTTAATGGATCCCCAAGAATACCAAAATGGTGGATCACAATGAAAACAAAATGCAACAATTACTTTTTAATTTTTCAAATGTGGTTGTTTAAAACTTACATAAAATCCAATCTTTAATTTATTGTTGAATGTGATTGATAATGGATATAAAGATAATTAATAAACTGGAAAATAAATGAAATAGCTATTACAGTATATATAGAGACACAACAAATGGGCAATAACCATATGTATCAAATATAGAATGTAGATGATTTATAATTATATACAGATACTGTATGCACTACTAGCACAGATATTAAACAATGCAAACAAAATATCAGGCATTTGAAGATGAAAATACACCAAATATGTTTCCCCAAAATGTGCCACAGATTGAAAATGACTCGACATCTAGATACCTGACTGCATAGCTTTTTTCCTGTCATCCAGGGCCTTGCTTAGCAAGCTGCCCAAATGATTTATGGACTCGTTTTTGGCAATATTTGGGCGTTCTTCATTCATACTAACCTGAAGAGAATAATGGCCTACACATATAATATTTATTTTTTTTAAATGTGGGGATTGTTCCAAACTAGTTTTAAAAAAGGAAAGTCACCAGTATTCTTAAAACAAACTTTAGTCATAGATGTAGCTAAAAAAAAAAATTACGCCATTTCATATTCTTAAACTGCACTTCGACTACTACAACTAATTCATGTGAACCTTGACTAAAATGATACCTCCGCAGGCCAATTTTTTAGTAAGCCTACATCAGACTAAATTGCAGACTTGATATATTTATCCCAATAAAAACATGCCTTTTGTAACTCACAATAGAGTGAAACGAATAAAAACAATTGTATAGGTAGGTCTGATGTATCTTTGGTTTGTTCAACAAAAGAGACATCAAGTTTAGCTTCCAAAAGGCGAAATTAACGTGTTTCGCTAGCCATGTGCAATAGTTCCTGACGTGCACAAAATCCCCTCATGTTTTGGTCACAGTAGCTTTCACAGTAACAACAACAGAGATGATGGCACTGCCCTCAATCGGGGTGTCACTATAATATTCTTCAATGAAAGCACTTATTCTGTGAATCTGTTCAAATTCTCTATCGTTATATGTTAACAACTATTTATAGTTATTATAGAAAATGAATGATGGTCTAATATGAATAATGTGGAAATGTATTTTTAAACAACAGTCAGCAGCTTATTATTCATCCGCGTTACAGGATCTCAAAAGGTTTGTCTGCTATTAAAATGATCCCTTTTCAGTGGTTAGTTTGACCATTTGACAGTCGTTGCTTGCCAGCTGTCTTCACCTAACTAAAACTAGGACTTGATTTAGAATTTTGCCTACCTTGTTTATAAATACAAATTGAAGTTTAAGTTGCAAATAGGCCTAAATGAAGTTCTAATTCAAAGTAAGACTAAAGTTTGTTTTAAAAATATGGGCATATACTGTATGTCATGGTTGGGTCAATAGGAAAGACTTTTTAAAGCTTGTTTAGTTTCTTTTTCAAATACAGTATATATGTAGCACAACTTCTCTGTCAAAATCATTTAGTCTGAAGACAATTTAATAAAAAAAAATATTATAAAGAATAAAAATGCGTGCGATGTAAACAAAGTAGTAAAGGACGCAAGTTAAGCCCATGTTCATGGTCCTATGAGTGTAGTTGTATAAAGAACATGAGTAGCTTCCATGTTCAGTAAATTGGATTCGATAAATGTGAGGCAGAAATGATAATTTATCAAACAATTTATGATGGTAGCTGGGAAGATAAAAAGATTTTTAAAAATATATTAATTTCTTTTGAAAGTGGTGTGCTAACAGATGGAAATTAACGTTTTATTTCATTTGAAACCATACAAGGCAGAAAACGTTTGTGAAACAGGGTTTAATAAGTGTTGCCTAAACCGAACTTGAGAGTTGTATAACAAATATTCATACAGTAGTTTGAACAGGTAGAAAGGAATACAATGTAAGTTAACAAAAAAAAAATAGGTTTGTTTTATCTGACTAACTTTAATATGTTTTTTGAATAAAACATAGAAATAAATTGTGTTTGGTGAAGTAGCTCCTCAAATAATGGGGAGGGGGTTAAAGGAATGGGGAATAAGTTTAAAATAAATTACAATAATGAAAAATATTTTCATTGAACTATGTAAGAAACGAATGTTTTGTGGTTTATAAGGCTACATAGTTTAATCTGTAAGAAAAAATAAAAAGTAAAATTTATACAATAATTTATTATAATATAAAAATTTATCATAAAGTCTGCGCGAATTGTATTTAAATAATCTCAATCGGAATAATAACAAATTTCAATTTCATTTATTATTAGATTTTTTTTATGTATTTCCAAAAACAAGTCTGCTCTGACTCACCCTCTTTAGCTTTTTGCCACCTCTAATTTGATCCAGTAATGCCCCTCTTGGTGTGTCCTTGGGAGTATTGTTCTGTTCTACTGGTTTCAAATCTCTTCCGTGCTGGATCTGACTTAAAAGATCAGATCTACCTCCTCCTCCGCCCCCACCCATTGAAGGTCCACCACCCGAGGGTACAGGAGGTGGCGGGGGTGGTGGTGCAGCAACAGCAGATGGTGGAGGAGGCGGAGGTGGGGGAGGAGGACCACCACCACCACCACCTACTGGAGGAGGTGGTGGACCACGTGATTGTCCAGGCCTAGAAATTGGGGGTGGTTGACTTGGGTTGGGGGGTAATGGAGGAAGGCCTCGGGAGGACTGTGATGGTGGACGAGGAGCTGGTGCCCTTTGGGGACGTGGGCTGGCTCTGCTGTCTCTTGAGGGAGGAGGAGGAGGCAAGTCTCGACGAGATGGTGGTGGGGGTGGCAATGCACTTTCTCGACGAGGTGGTTGAGAAAAACGATCTGATGGTGGTGGTGGAGGAGGTGCATCTGTTAAAAAATATTTATGATATATAATAAAAAAAAAAAACATAATTCAATGTATATCAAATATTTGTATATAAAACATTTGTATGTACTGCATTATTATACTTAACCTATTATTTTTAATCTTGCTGGAGATGTGCTAAAAAGTAATCGTTTAATATACCAAAGCTCATTTTTAGAACTAAATAAAATTAATTCGTAAATAATAAAATAAATAAGCCAAAATGTTCAATACAAAGTAAAAAATGAAGTATTATTTAATAATAGTTTTTAACTCACAAAAACTGCAGTTTAATAGAAATTACTGTGCATTGATAGACAAAAATTGATATCAATTTACTGTTGATTAATAGAAATTACTGTATCATCAATGTATAGTAATTGATATCAATTACTGTGGATTAATAGAAATGACTGTATCATCAATGCCCAGTAATTGATATCAATTACAGTGCATTAATATAAATTGCTGTATATCAATGAATAGTAATTGATATCAATTAATGTGGATTAATGGAAATTCCTGTATACCAATGCACACTAATTGATATAAATTAGAGTTCATATGTGTATCATCAATTACTGTGCATTTGATATACAGAGAATTAAGCTTGGCAAACACTGCAACGTACAATAGTCATACAACTGTCGGCTCTCTGTGAGCTGATTGTCCAAGGCAGTTTGCCTTTGACAATCAGCTCACAGATTTGGGTTGGCTCTCCCATCTGAAGTTTGTGATTTTCTCTGTCTGGAAATTGCTATCCTTCACAACTATGCATAGGACTATAATTCATTGATTAGAGCTATTTGTATAAACCATATTAAATTATACTCTAGTCGTACAGACCTAATTATCAAATGATATCTGATATATGTTTATTTACAATCTAGTCCTATGCAATGTTTTCCTTATATTATGTCATGTTTTCCTTATATTATATCATTATAGTAGCCCCCTACTAAACTTTTTTATTCAGCTTTAGGCACTGGGCAAAGGATATGGCAAACAGTGATATTACTCTTCAAAATGGCAGTCCTATCACAAGACAACAGGGGATGTACGAACCAGTACACTGGGGTTACCCCCTACTAATCTTTTGTGCCCTGTTTCATTGACCCCTATAAACTGGTGGTACCGCCTGGTTCTCTTTGGAATCAAATCAGCCAATGACCATAGGATGCAGCATATGTCCGCCTTTACTCTGTAATACACATTGTTAAAATAATTCCATTAATTAGTAAAATATTTTAACTTGTGAAAGCTAAAAAAGAATCTACATACCAGGTTTGATACGCTCAGCTTCTTTTTTGACAGCATCAATGCCACCGTGTTCCTCAATGAAGTCATTAATGAATTTAGCTGTGTTTTTATCCTTTAATAAAGCTTCTGTTACACCTATGGATTCAAACCAGCCTTTCACTGTCGGGTCCATGTTATTGGTCTACAAAAAAAAAACATTCAAGCAAAATATTATTATACAGTGCACTCAAGTGCAGGGATATACAGAGATGGTGTAGAGTCATTCAGGACAACCATGCATGTATCATCAGTGCAATACCGTGGCAAGTAGGGAGCTAATGGAACCCATCATACTGACACTCTGGTACCTGCCTGTACATGGTTGTGGTGGCGATGCCATCTAAACATCGGGAGTGCGCATTTTCTTTCCGTTTTTCGTGTTCAGATTGTTTAATATTGTACCATTTCTGGTCATTACCTGAACGACTTGTCTCTTTATTCTATTTTATTTATTTGTTTTTTTTAAATTATTTATCATTTTTTTAATTAAATTATTTTTTTAAGATTAATTTTCTTTTTCTGTTTTCCTAAGTGATTTGTGGACAGAATACGGTTTCCGTGCCTTGAGAAGATCTTACAGAGGAAGGCCCTCTACAAATATTCTAGCATGTCTGGAAGGGAATTCAATAACTAATTTAAAAGAAATGAAGAGCCTCAATTTGAAGAGATAATAAATTAATCTGCTTACATCAAATCCTTTGTCTGGATCCCATCCAACATGGCTAACATGTCTAAATACAAAAAAAAAAAAAAATATCAGTCTGTAAACATTCGTATTCATTAGATTTATATTTAAGTGCAAGGACCAAAGAAAACATATCAATCAATCAAACACTATAGTGGTACATTAAATCTGGACAAATCAGCGGAAGAGTTTTCCCAATCGGACAAGCATTGACCACTGCCAATGCCACAACATGTAATCTGTCGATGTAAACAGCGTTTTGTTTGATTACCAATCCATACCACTGAGTTTTACAGGCACAGTCAGGGCGATCCTCAACCACAAAATCTCCCCACTTGTAACCTGCTATGATTTTATTCTGGAAAACACTGAGTGAGGCTTTAGGTTTAAACCAGCGTTCCGCAAACTTTTTACTTTACGGCCTATTTACGCGATTCCAGGCACCAAGACGCGGCCCAGCAGTTCAGCAGCGTCAGGGACCAACATACCAAATCATGTTGCCTCCATAAACAATAGAACCCCTCATTTACATACGTTAGATTTTAAAGCTGAAAACGATGTTTGAAAGAGAAGTAAAATTTGTCGCATGCACATTGTGTGAAGCCATAAAAAACACTGACTTTGAAGAGGCCCGTTAGAGGGCCTCCTTCACTTGAGAATTACATGGGAGGTGGTTGCTCCATCTACTCTCTATAAAGATTATACAATTCGAGCGGGTTTTTTTTTTTTTTTTTTTTTTTAATCTTCCGCTTCAATTTTTATGACGTCATCACCTTTATATTACGTTCGTAAAATCGGGAATTCGTAAAATCGGGAATTCGTAAATGAGGGGTTCGTAAATGAGGGGTTCTACTGTATATACAATATTTTGACATCATTATCTGTTCTCTCAGTGATAAAATTTCATTGTATACAAATTAAATATTATTTTATTAAATAAATAATACCGTACATTTTGTGTCCCCCACCCACACAATTGTTGATTGTTTATTTTTTCTACCATGGTTCAACCAAACACGGTTCAGCCACACGTCATAGCTTTCTCCTTCTTCCAAAAACTTTTACGCACACTCTGTTACTGCGCAACTTTGAAGACTACCTTACTATACAGGTAATATGTTTAGTAATAAAGTATCCACATGGGCATTCGGTTATCAAGAAATGTGTGTTGTTGTTTACTTCAGTGATGTTTCTAGGACAGGTCTTATATTTAGTTTTATCTTTAGCTCATGACTCATCCCATCATTCCTCCATACCGGATATACTCGATCTTACAGGGTTAATACTAGACGATAACATAATGTCTAGCTCCCGAGGGGGCATGGACAAAAAAACCGCTTATAACTCAAACAGCACGCATCATCTGTCACTTTAGCAGCATGTGCAAGCGACACATTCGCTGTAACAATAAAGCGGCTTTGTTAAAAATTATTTTCTCCATGATAAAACGTCTCTTTGTTTTTCATTTTTTTAAAATTTCCAGGCGGCTTTGTGGGCCTCCAAAAATGTTTTTTTGTTTGCGGAACGTCGGATTAAACCAATGTTATACTCCATTATATATGCCTCGGTAGGACTATTCCATTATTTTCAAGGTAAGTTCTTAAAAGGAAATTGGCATATATCGGTTCATTTCGGTACTGTAAGTATTCACAAAATAGATCTCTCCACATGTACCCTCCCAGGATTCTATTCCGGAAAACACTGAGTGAGGCTTTAGGTTTAGACCAGTGTTATACACCATGTTAGTTGGCAAACTTTTGGAGCTGCCACTGTTAATATAAAATGGGAAAAACTGAGAAGCATGGCTGCCATAGTAGAATCTATTTTCAATATTACGAGTATGGTATTGCACAGACAGTGAAACAATGAGACCAGGGTTCGAATTTCCCGACAGCACAGAGAGCAATTGCTGTAGGGTCTTCCACTGCTGTGGTAAATCCCAGAATCGACAGCAAGATTTAGATGTTGGGTTGCCTAACCAAGGCTAGGCCTAGCCACGGATTTTACCCTTACAAACAATAAAACTGTTGATTGTTGCAGTAGAAGAAGAAAAAATTGCCGTAGTAAATCTAGAGTCCACAGCAACTTCTTGCTGATGGAACATTTTAAGGAAGTTCAAACCCTGTACACAACTTCCTGGATATGCCACTGTGTTTTTTTTCCCTATAAATATATACTAAGTACACACTTACTTACTTTCATAAAAATATGATTGAAGTGTTTGGACATATCGATGTAGAAAAAAGATGTAAACTTTTCAACTACTGCAGAACACTTACTGAAAATTTGATGGAAGACCAATGTCCGCTTTGGTTATTTTTCCTTTCTTCCCTTTGTTTTTCTTGTCTTTCTTCCTTTCTTTATTGTCATTGCTTATCTGGTTGGGTGTATGGTGAACCTCTGTAGAGGGAATACCAACATATTATTATATAAAATGTGTATAGATACATACACATTAAGATACTAGTAGTGTCTATTAGCAGAATATATAATACATTTACATAATAATAATAATAATAATAATAATAATAATAACAATAATAATTATATAATAATATAATAATAATAATAATCACTAGTAATAATAATAATAATTTAATAAACATCTTCCTCATCTTTTAGCTGTAATCAATGTGATTGTTATTCAATATGACTTTACCATTTGAAGAAACATACAAAATTTGAATATTATACAACTATCATAACATAAATCACTACTGATTGTCTTGTATATACACATTTAATTTGAGATAATAAGTTACAATAATATTGCAATATCCATGAGTGACAGTGAAGGAATTGGGTCGAATTGCATTTGAGTGTCCATACAGAGGTCATGTGCTAGCAAATGTATGTCCTGGTGATTATACTAGTGCCTGAAATTATTCTCAACACAGTATGTGCATATGCAGGTGTAACAAAATCAGTCCTTGCTTTAAATTCTTAAATCAGCCCTTCATTGTAAAACTATCCTGCCTATGATGACGGCGCTGTTCAATTGTGATAAGCATCAGTGCTTTGTAGACGCAAACATTATCCAGTATCACTTTGTGCTGGTTTGTTTATGGATATGATTAGAGAGTTAAAAGAGAACTAGCAAAATGATTTTTTGTTCTAGAGAGGATTTTTGACATGCCATTAATAATAGAATCCACCTTAAATTCGTTTTTTGGATTTTTTTTAATGAAGTTATAGGCGATTATATACGATTTTACCATGACGTCACTGGCGAAAAAGTAACAAAAGATCGTGTAAATAGCGCCGCGTAGGGTATCCGCCGCGCACGATCTTTGCGTGTATGCTGTAACCATGGCTGTAAATTGTGATTGTTACAGCATGCACACAAAAATGGCAAAAATCCACTCTTAAAACAAAAAATCGTTTTGCTAGTTCTCTTTTAATAACAACATTACCAGTGCCTTGTATCCCTTGGCTAAAGGTGCGGTATACAGTAAACCTCTATATTATTATCATGATCATCAATAATCTATACTATGAGGTCATCATTTTTTTCATTATTGAGCCAAAGAGAGTACAAAACATACTCTTTTCTGTTACCAATCCCCCTGCCCCAAAACAACACATAATAAACTGAAAATTCTTGTTATTCTGAGATCATTTTTTTTTTCTATTTTCATAAATACTGTAGGGCAGTAATTGTAAAATTGGTTTTTAGTTTTTGTCTTCTTAGACTAGATGTGTGTGACCTGAAGGCCTATTTATCATACTAGGTACACTAGTCACTGGTAGCCAAAAATAACAAAGAATGGCTAATAATAATAATAATAATAATAATAATTTAATAATATACAGTGTACCCCTTTCTCCTTACTATATGTTTTGTACTCGCCTAATAAAAACTGATTGATGACCCCTACGATACATCACTGCATAATGGACAGCAAAATAATAAACACTATGATTATGGGCAATTATAAACTTGCACTGTATTTGACATGCGACTCACTGTGAAATACTCAAATTATTGATATGAGTTAATTCAATTTTCTGAATAGGCAAACCATAATTACATCAACATTTTGGTTGTTTTAAAATCATTTTTAAAGGTTTGTTTTAAAATAAATATTGTGTAAAAAATAACCATAATTATCTCCCAAAAAATAAAATGTACAATTACAGTAACAAACGAAACATAAAACAAAAAGTTGTAAAATAAATAAACTACAAAAATATCTTGCATGCCAAAATATGATAAAAAGAGCAGCTGTTTCATTTTAAGCACTTATACTTGGTTTAAAACGTGATCACTTAATTATTAAAGACTATATTTTTGTATCATGTATTTCAAAAGTATTTTTAATATTATATTATGTAATATTGTAATAAAAATACAGTATAATATGTTAAAAATTCTAGATCTTTAATGTTAATATTGTTACTTTTTATTGACAGAGGTTGGCTATTTTTTTTATTCCATAGACAACAACATTATTGCTTCTACGTTTTTTTCTTTTGTGAAGGCATTTTGAATCAACATAGGCCTACTGGTCTACACAAAAGTACCTGAATACTGAGGAAAACAGTCCAATACTTAACAAGCAATTGTACAAAGAATACAATTATTATATTAACTGAATCTAGATTTTTCTTTTTTTTTTCACAATCACTTAATCATCATAGTTTATAGTATTAAATAAAGCATTATTATTGGCATTCCGTTGTGCTGTGAAATATATTTTAAAAATAAGATTATGTTATAATTTACTCTTTTAGATAATTAAAATTACGTTACATGTATTTTCACGTGTGATATTTTTAATTAATAATTTTTTGGATTAGATTTCAAATTTGGCTATCAGTTAGGGGTCGTGCAGAAACTATTTTAACGCAATTGCCGCGTTATCGCCCTTATCACTATCACATCTACTGCGAGTTCGTTAATGAGGCAGATCAGTGAAGCATAAGATTGCTACCGCGGTAGGTCATGAATATTTATTAGCTGTCTGCAGTCTACCCAAATCGGCAGATTGTAGCATAACGCGACTACCGCGATGCGGTCATAAGTTGTTTCTAGTCTTGGAGTCCAGACATTTCAAAGCTTCCACTTAGAACATTCGTCATGGCTGTGCACACGGAGTCTCTAATATGCCTGGTATTTATAGACTAGAGTACAATTTTTTTGTAAACGGACCACGTGTGGTAGGCAGACCTGGGCGCTGATGACAGGTACGGTATCAGGCGGAAATAGTTTAGGTCAATTAATGCATGGCCCTTTATAGTTTTAATTAATCGGACTAGTAAACAGTAACTAAAATAGATAGATCTGGCTAAAATGTAAAGATTTAAGATTCATTTTCAATCTTTATTTTAGAAAACATAATTTATATTCAGTACAATTTTCTTTCTAATCCAGAGGCACGAATTCAGTTGGGAGACATGTCCAAGAAAGAAGTCTCCTATAGTCACTTTATATAAATAAATAATAATACAGAACTGTATAATAAATAAGGCCTACAATTATAAAGCCTTTAGGCATAAAGTACTACTACTAGGCCTATGAATTATAATTACAGTACTAAAACTACCAGCCACGCTACCTATACTACTACATAAGTTGCTAGATTACTACGGTAGTAGTACCCTCCAGCTAAGCCGGCTCTAAGCCTAACTCTAATGGCTGGACTAGGCCCTAGATCGTTTTTTTTTTTACACTTGACTGTAACTGACTGGTGAAAGTAAAATAATACAAAAATTGCCGACGTGCTCCATCAACCTTTCGTAGGTTCGTACAGAATTTGTCTCATACAGAATTCTTCGTAAACGTAAACAACAAACTTCTACCCCGTGGACGACGTACCGCGAGTGCCGCGGTAAACAGAATGAGTTAGCTATCATGCATATTCATTAGTTATTTCGTTAGCTCGTGAACGGTGAATGTTAGGCCACGCCCATATGCCGCGTTAGTGAAAATCAGCGACAAAACAGCCGATAACGCGGTACTCGCATTAAAATAGTTTTTGCAAGACCCCTTAAATACTCTTTATTAAAGAAATATAATTTGAAGCATTCATTCTGTTATTAATTTTTGTCTATAATTTAAATAAAAATCTAAATGCTTAATTTACTATTATCAATGTTATTTTATTATTAAAGCTAATAGTTTCAAAGTAGGTTGAAAACATGCTTAAATAAAACACTGAAATATAATCATGCAAAAATCAAGCAGTGAACCCAATATTTCTAAAAAATATTATAAAAGATGTACAGTATTTCCTATAAATACTGTGGTTAAAAATGTAAGATTGGAACTCCAGACATTAATGGTTGTTTTAAGCTCCTCCTGGGAAAGTGAAATCCCATGCACATTAGCAAACAGCAAAAAATAACACAGCAGTGTCTATAATCACAACTTTTATAGGACATTTCCTATGTAGTATGATCACATTGTTCAGTTCAAATGGAATCAACACAGCATAGCAGCTACAAAACCTACACATACTGTACCCCTGAAGACATATACTGTAACACACTGACATTAACATATGTGGCAAAGACAAGCCAAACCAGTCACTCGTCGCAAATCGTGTTTTAGAGAAAATGGCCAAAACATGCTAAAATGTCAAATTTTAAAAAATCTATTTTATTGCACTAAACTAACCTATATATATCTACACACCATCCTATGCTGTTATTTTCCCAATTTTCAATGTTAAAACGACACTTTTGAAGGATTTAAAGATAGTTTCTGCATGAGAAATGCCTGAAATCATAAACTTTAAAGGCTGATTTCTCATATATTGTTCTTTAAACAGCTGTGTGGTTAAACGCTTGTAACTTCATAAGGAAATGTCTGATTTGAATGATTTTTTTTACCATTTTATAGCTATTATTTTACTCTCTAACACTGTATTATTAACACAAAATCAATTTTTGCGACGAATGACTGGTTTGGCTTGTCTTTGCCACATGTACTGTAAACTCATATTAGTATCAATATCAGACTAACATTATAAAAGCAACAGCATAGAGTGGCATAAGCATAGTATCATACAAGACTGAGCATTAACGTACTGCTCTGTTCTACTGTACCTCGTAAACTTGGGGAAGAAAGTTTAGGTGCGGGTCGAGCAGGTGCTCTCGCCGATTGACTTCGATGGACTGAAGAAGTTGACAATTAAGTGGTCAAAATGTGCAGCAAATTGTGGTTCATCATAGAACCATTGCATGAGTTAATATCAAATCAAACATAGGCAGTGGCTATTGTTACTCCACATATTAAACAATTCCACATTCTGATTGGATGATTACTTTTCAAATCACTCCAGACTCAAAATAACATCCAACCACAATTGGGAACTGATTTAATTATAGCCACTGCCTTTCATAAAGGTGTAGATCAATTATAGATCAATGTAAATCATTAATAGATCAAAATGGATAATTGTATTTTTTTCGAGATAAAAATATAAAAACAAATCTTTTACACACATTTCGGTTTTATAAACAAAGACTACAATATAAACATTCTATTCTGTTTAACATCAGAAGGAATTACTGTATTTCACCTAATAATAGAGTCACTATTAATAGCTAAATCCAATTTTAACTACAAAATTATATTCATTGAATCGAGAATTATCAATCAGGAAATAAATTTAATACTCTCAATCTGTTGACACTGATCAAAAAAAGGGTACACAATAATACTAAAAGAGATTCAATATAATGTTGTGAATACAAACAAAATTACAATTAATTTATTATATAAATGTTTTTCTCAAAAAAGCTTAAAAAAAAATTATTATTATTTAAAAAAACTAAATTAGAACAATATCTGTTATTGTTTAGATTTTAAAAAATAATAAATACTTCAATGGTGACTCACCAGGCAAAGGCGGTGCAGTATTATTAGTCGAGTTGGCTGGTGGAACCGGTGGCGCAGTGCGACGTTTTTCTGAGTTTAAGGAAGGACGAACAATAATAAAAACCTTATAAGAAGTGACTCAAACATTTAAAATGAGAACAGCAGAGAATGCAAATCATGACACTTTTATGCTTTCAGAATTTAAAATCCCAAAATACACAATTAATTTGATAGTAAAATCATTTTGTTTCATATATTATTTTTTATTTAATAAACATAAACCCTCATTCGGAACATCCCTATTGACGCATATTTAAGAAGACATTTTTTTAGCTGAAAATTAAAAGACTATATGAACCACAAACTGTAGCCATATAAATTGCAAAAGCTAGGACCAGTGAAGCCGCAGCCTTCAAAAATGAAATTTTCTAATAAAAGGAAGAAGAATTTCTAAACGCTACTCAGGGGACACCCGTGTACACTATTTTTGGTCCCGAAGGTTCCCCTTAATAGGGATTTTACTAATGGTACTCTTTTGAATCAGCTTTAAAAAGTAACAGGAAAAGGAAATACAAACTGCAAAATAATTACGCAGTTAGAGTTTATAAGCTTGTAGTCAATACCAGCTTATTTCTAAATCAAGGTACTATATTCTTAGTAAACCATAAATCAATTTGACATCCAGAAAATAAAAATCTTTAGATTTTTTGTTTTCTTTATTTTACGTTGCAATACTTAATTATCTATTCAATATCTAAAAAGGATTTTTTTCTCCTTTTTGGTGGCCCTTTTTAACTTTTGTTGAATTAATATTATTTATTTACACTTAATATTATTATTTATTTACATTATTATTTACTGTACACTATCAACATTTGAATTTGTGTGTGCAGAGTACACAAGCACTACAGTGCACTTTCATTTGTTGTGTTCTCTACAAAGACACGAATGTGGCCTGTCGACTACAGTTGTCGATTCCAAAGAAGACCCACAGTGATCAATCAACCAACCAATAATTTTACCTCTCCGTTGCTGCTTCATACTAATCTTCTCAATAATAACTCCACCAAAATTCTCAGCTTCAATATCATTGGCAAAATTCAAACCAGCCCAACATGACTAAAATAGAAACAAAACAATTAATTGAAATACATATTCATAACACATCTAGAAATTCAGAACATGAAATTGTTAGAGTAAACCGTTATGATGTCCATTAATACATTACATTCAATTAAAAAACACTACTGTACTCTCATACATTATGTTTTACCTTTTAAATTTACAGTAGGCGTTATATGTTTTCTTAGCATCTGAAAATTACATTATGGTGGTAACAAAATCCAAAAAATTTACAAATATATTATAATTATTAATAAATTTCAATATTGATGATAAGAAGATTACTATGGTATAGAGTACCATAAACAACATCATCCCCAATACTTAAGGGGGGATTATTGTAATCTTGGAGATTTATGGTCAGCTCAAGTGCAGATTTGGTTTAAAATGCCAACAAATGACAATTGATTTTGGAATGTTGTAAATTCATTTGATGAAATATATTCCAGCTGCTGCTTGCTGCATTAGTGAACCGAGTACATGTCAAGTGGCGTGAAGCCAGGCACTCTATACGCCGACACTCAGTACGCCGTACGACGGTCGTAGCGCCGTCGCACAACGAATCCAACTCTGTTCTCTGTGAGCGATAGACGATGCAACGCTGTCTGCTGATTGTCAGTAGCAGTCTAAACTAATCATCATAAAAAAAGATCTGTTGCGCGAGCGTTGTCACGTTGTGTTCTTCATAGCAACGCGTCAGCCGACGACCATCGTGAGCAGAGGGTGCCTGGCGTTAGAAAGATCTTCATAGGAAGGCAGGAAAAAAATCTTTAAAATGAGAGATTATTTTATTTAAATGTTTCTAATGAAAGCATTTACTGTGAAGCTTTTGTAATGATCTGGAAAATAAATAAATGAATGAAATATAGGCTAGAAGAAAATAATTATAAAATTTTATTGTCAAATTAAAAACAAATCTTTTAGTAAAAAAGAAACTGAGAGTGGCCTTTGGTTTTCACTCTATAGTTCCATTAGTTGCTTGTATAATAATCAGAAGTGGTGGTCTTTAACGGTAAATGGATTGATACAGGATTTATATTTATTTAATTCTTCTAATAATAACAATAATAATGATAATAATAATAAAAATAACAATAATAATCATAACAACAATTATTAATATTATTATTATTAGTATTAATTATTATTATTATTATTATTTAATCATGAAACAAAAATATACTAAGATATAACAGCAGCAGTCTGGATAAAAATATAAAAAATTTAATTATTTAAATGACTATTATTATTATTTAGCATCAGGTTACTATATTACTATTTGGCATTATTATCTGGCATCAGGTTCACAAAACAAGGTTTAAAAATTTCAGCCGACAAAAAGAAGCAATTATTATAGTTGTGTATCATACACTAGTGGAAATTATTGTACAAAGATTGAATTAATACAGTACATGAAAATAAATATTTAAATACATCTATTTAACCTACTGTTAGTATAATAATTATATTAAAGTTTATAGAAAGCACTATACTATTAATTGCTTTTATACTGTAAGTCAATCACGTTAGTTTTGTATATCAAACTGTTGTTGCAGACATCGATCTGTAGCTCCATATATATATTATCTGTACATCTGTGTGTGTGTGTATTACCTATGCGGATTGTTGCTACAGTTCACGTTAACACAATTGAAATAATAAGTACAGCTAAGTATGAAGAATAAATTATATTTGAAGAGGAACTTGTATTTGTTATAAATAACTAACTGTACAACAAATAACAAAAACATCACACTAATAAGTAAGATGAATAAAACAATCATTAGTACTGTAGCAACAGCAGCAGTAGGTAATAATAATGGCTACCATCAAAGAACGATTGGAAAAAGCAACAGATGCACTTTTAGATGACTGAGCAGTGAAAATATAGATGTGGAGGAACAGCAGACAGTAGGAGAGAATCACTCAAGAAAAAGCCTGATCCCAAAAACAGGGAAAGATGAGGGATAGGTATAGGGGTGTGTCATACTTACGTCTGTACAAAATGTATGAAAAAATGGCCTTGGCTTCTTGTATCTAAACTGATTGTAAAGTTCCTGCTCCCAAACCATTGCATGTTTCTATAAAATAATTGTTAGTGAAATGAACAGAAAAATGATATGCAACTAGATCATCAACTCTGATTTATCAAGCAGGGCAATACTAATATTACTGTATTAACATAATCAGACACTGAGAAAAAAAAAATTTTCAAATTTCGGATAATATTTACCAAGTCACATATGGCTGGTAAAAAGATTGAAATTAATTAAATTTATGACCTTGAACATAGTTGTTATGTGTCATTAAAAAAATATATATTTTCTCAGTATATGATTATGTACATTTATTAGATGCCCACAGAACATTCCTGTAAAGATCTGATGGAATAGCCAGTATGTCATGGTTTAACAATAGTAGGGCGGACGGTAGAAAGACCACCCGAACAAAATTTTCATCAATTTCTTTACCTCAAAATTTCACTTTGTTATTTCTATTTTTTTTTCAAGTCAAAAATCACTTATCAATTTGGAACAGTAAGCCATTGATAATACATTAAATAATAATTAATCAAAAAAATTGCACTTATAAGAATTCAGAAAACATGACAGGTGGCAGCTTCAAACAGGACTTTACAAGTAGAATAACAATCGATTACACTTACTATATCATATTTCACAGTTTTCAGAATTGACAACATGGTAAAATCCAATTATAATACAAGAAATTACAGGATCTCTGAATTTAAGACAATTTGGTAGCGACTTTAAATTTAGAAAAGCGAGTCTTCTGAATGTATTATAATCCTAGATGTAACATGGAAACAACTGATCAAGCTACTGTTAAGAGCAGTCTAATAGATCAGTCTTGCAGGAGCATATTCATCATCATGATTGTCTGATTTAATTGACTGCAAGATTTATATACAATTACCAGCAGACATATTCGGAAAAGGGGTTTGTTTTTATAGTGATTTTGTTGACAAGCTCGTGAATGGAATCACAAGGTCTAAGCAGTTGAATCGGAGATGTCATAAATGGTCTGCCAGGCAAATCACTCACAGGATATCCTTTGTACGTAGGTTTCCTGGCATAAAGTATTACATATCTTTATGACAGAGCATTGGGTAATTCAGAACTTATCGAGTGGAAGTCCTAAAAGTATGACAAATTTTAGTTTTGCATTGTAATGAGCAGATCATTTGGTGACTGATTGCTGTTTCTCAATATACTGTACAGTTTACTATAGATTCAATTACTGTTTAACAATTTCCATTCATAGGACAAATACAGTTAATCATCAGTAGTGAGTCATAAGTTAAAACGAAGTACTGTACAATGTTTTCAAAATACTTTTTAAATGGATCATGTGCATAATTATCAATCTGTTTAGTTTTTCAAATAAACACTAACAGGTTGATGATTTCTATTGTTCACACTGATGATGATGATGATGTAATGATGATGAAGATCTAATGATAAAGATGATGATGATAAAAATAATGAATCAATGATGATGAAATGATTGATAATGATGATGATGATGATGATGATGATGGTGATGAAGAAATAATGAAAATGATGATGTTGATAATGATATTGAAGCCAACTCCCAACTTTGGCCACCTGTCATTGGGAAAGTTAGTGTTTTGAATAAAACATACTTTGTGGATTCATACTAAATGTAAAACATGGAATTGTATAGAGTTTGGATTTGGAAACGCTTTTTATGTTTCTGTCTTGCATCCAGCAGCTAACTATTCATTGTAAGCTGCAATTAATTTCCCATAATACGCTGAATTGAATTTCTTTAATTCCGGAATAACAAACAATTATTATCCCCACCCTGCAAAGGCTTTCTTCAGAAAAAAAATAAATAAAAAAATAATTTTGTTGGTGATACCACTAATCTAACAAGCTTAATACCAATCATTTTAACTGTTAATTTTACACCAGGCTATGGCTAGTGTCTTGGTGATATACCAGGGGCAGATCCAGGAATTCGAAATAGAGGGTGGGGCCAGGAAAATTAATTTTATAGATGGATGGTCCATACTACCTCAGCTCCACAATGGTTAGGGCTGAGGTATGAAATTTTATGTGTATGGCACTTCTAGATGGACGGAAATGGCATTTTCTGACTAAAATTTTGAAAGTAATTTTCAATTTCTCCAATTTATTTATTTTTTTTTTTTTTGTAAATTTAGAAAACTTTAGGGGGTGGTGGTAGGTTTGAAACTGCCTTTTCGCTTCAAGATTCAATGTGAATCAAAATATTTTATTGGAAACTCTTATAGGAATTTGTACACAACTGTGAGCTATACTTTACCGACGTCCCACTATTATAATTGTATTTTATTTTGTTTGTGTTATGTAGTACAGGTTCACTATTATTTTACATTCTATTTTTACTGTTGAAATTTAGAAAGTCAGTGAACCTCTCACTTCCTAAAAGAGTATTCCTGAAATCCTGGATTCATGCCTGTTTCTATTGAAGTACTTAATCAATTGTACTGTATGTCATGGATACAAACAAATTAAAATAACTTACAATGATATCATATACCCTTATGTAGTAAGACCTGTTAGGATTATCCTTCACAAAGCAGGCTACACCGCAACAATGTTTCACCCACGAGTTTCCATTCTTTGCCAGAAACACTTGAACAACAGAGGTTGCCAGGGTCTAAATGGGTAAAAATATTACATAGTTTACAAGTATGAGGTACTTATATTGGCATTTTGCATTTAAAATGAATTTTCATAAAAGAAATTCTCAACAATTTATCAGACACTGTTCAAATTTGTCATAAAAAATCCATTCAGTGTCATAGAAAAAGCAGTTTGGAAACATTTTTTTTTTAGCAGGATAACTGTAACATTTAACCAGAAACAGAATCTGAAAAACTAGGGTGTAAAATAATGCAGCAAAGCATTATTTGACTATCCATCCATTGATAGCCAGGGATTTTGCTTTCATTCAAATTGTAGTAAATTCTTAATTAAATGTTTCAAATTTGGTCAATAGAATGTTTAATTGTTTTTGGCCATGAATGACAGTCAATCTTTAAACTTCGTTCAGGTTTTTCCCAAACTCCTACCTTCAGAAGTTCAAATTAGAGACATCCAAATTTTGAACGCAATGTCCCGCTTTCCAGGTTGATGTGTCCTACTTTTAAACAATCAAGAGGTTAAACTATTTCCGATGGAAACCAATGGGGTAGGTCACAAGGGCTAACCCCTTGCACCTAGAAACACTGTGCAATTTTGAGATATTTTTATTCAGCTGTTATGACACCACAATAAGCTGCTAATTTTTTACCATTTTGAGATCCTACAATCTGTGTCTGATGGGAGCAGGGGCTTGGCTTCAAGTTTGATTGGGATTGGAGGAGGGGGCTTAAAGGAATACAGGTAAACTGGGCCCAGTGTTTAAGCTCTGTCATTAGCCAAATAGCCAAATCCTATAAAAGCTGAATTTTTCTAAATATCTTCATTAAAAATTTGCCAAAAAGCTAATGAAATTAAAGCTATCATTGCAATATTCTTTTGTTGGATTGGATCTAGAAGCAGACTTATTTCCAGTAGGGTCCTTTTAGTGGTGATTAGGCAGTACACCAGGAGACAATCCCCTACACTTTTCCAAATGAGTGTACTGCGTTCTTTAACATGCAGAGTTATGTATGTGTACCATCCAAGATGGCCGTCATAGTAAAGCACCACCTTCAGGCTTAGGATACATATTATTACATATTAATAAGCCCTCTGACTGACTATTAATTTATTTCATTATTGATAACTATTGTAGCCAAAACGAGGCCAAGTGGAGCATCTTATTCAAAAATAAAGTATTACAAGGAATGAAAATTAAAATCGTGTATTACACCCAAACACCGCAACGCTCAAGTTTCAAACATACGGGTAACTAGCTGTACTGAACTTTTTTTTTTGCAATTGCAAACGATGGTGCTTAGCGAAATTTGATTGGCTAAATATATGGCAGCCATCTTGGATGGTACACACACAGTTCTGCGTATTTCAAACATCGAATACATTGCGGTTAGCGCTCTAGTATTCTTATTATAACTCTATGATTCTAACCAAAACTGCCAAAAAAACCAAAAGGACAATAAGTAAAAACAGCAACGACTAAAATGGCAATTTAAGCCAAAACGACAATAAACCAAAACGGTAACACTTTTTTTACCAGAACAGCAATGGACCAACACAGCAAATAAGTCAAAAGGACAATATCTCAAAATTAAAATGGCAACAAACATTAATGGCAACACTCCCAGAATTCTAATTAAATATTAAATACAGTATGTCATCAGTTCAGTTTATTTCACATTAAAATATTGTACCAAAAAAGATAAAATTCGCACTAGGCAGGACTAAACAAATGTAACAATAAAAGATGATGTATTGTAAGGATGGCCTATGTACGTTTTCTGAAGTAAAACTTTTATTTCCAATAATGGTCCTACAAAAAAGATGTACCACGATTAAATATGGCAAAAATGTAAGTATATAAAAAGACATTAAAATAAAGATAAAATGAGGCTAAAACCTTATGTCATGTAAAAAATGTGAAAAAACATTAATAACAATGAAAATGAAGATACAAATAATAATAGGCCTATAACAATATAAATTATAACAACATACAAATTTAATAAAAATATTGAGGGAAACACAATATAAAAGAAAACATTCATATAAATAAAACTTTAAAATACAGACAAAATGAGGCTAAAACATTTTTTGTCATAAAAGCGAAAAAAAAAAAATGCAACTAAACATTAAAAGCCAGAAATAAAGCCTAATATTTGATTTGCCTACAGACGATTGGGTCAATTTGAAGACGATTCAGAAAATTATAAACTGCGGCCCACGCATGGCGGCACTTGCTCTTTCTTGGCATTGATTTTGCTCCTTTGTCATTTTTGGTCTAGGCCTAGGGGTAGCAGTTAAAAACGGCAATAAACCAAAACGGCAATGACCAAAACGGCAATGAACCAAAACGGCAAATTGACAAGTACCAAAGCAGCATAGACCAAAATTGCAAAGGAGCGAAATCAACGCCAAGACTAGCAAGCACCATCGGGTGCGGGCCGCAGTTTATAATTTTTTGAATCGTTTTGAAAGATAGGCAAATCGAGTATTGCCATAGGCTCTAGATCTTTTTCCCACTTTCAATGTTTATTATTATTATTATTTCACATTTTCTACTTTTATGACATAAATTGTTTAGCCTCATTTTGTCTGTATTTGAAAGTTTTATTTGTTTAAATGTTTACTGCTTTTATATACTTTCCCCTTCCCCAATCTTTTTAATATTGAATTTGTATGATTATTATTATTATTATTATTATTATTATTAATATTATTATTATTATTATATTGTTGTTATCACCTTTATTATCATTATTATGACTAATTAGTATTATTAAAGTAAATATTTGAAAAGGACCGACATGTCACTGGCGATTCACGTCATTGGATGCATCCTTGTCACTATTGTCAAATACAGTATAGCCCCCCAATGGTCGAACAAATATGAAGGAATGAAGTCTGTCACTCAACAATACCAATTGTTCCTATTGTGGATACAGTAATTCATACTAAATGCTAATTCTTGGGCGTGGTTCTGAAGAAAATAGTATTGAAATGCACACAATCGTGCATTCATTTGATTTTAGTTGGATTCAAAATAAATTTTTAACATTTAAAAAAATCATAATGTGGTTTTTCTATTTCAATTTTTTAAGATTAGGTCTACAGTATGTACTCATGTTTTATGTCAGTGTTTTTAACGTGAACAAAATTAAATATTAATATATGTGTTTTTCTTAATTATTAAGATTGCTTAAATTGTTAATGTTACAATTGTCAGATTTGATTCCATTCTGTAAGTAGCGGGTTTTCTCTGTTGAATAAGAGTACAGTGTGAAGAAATGTATACAACGATCTCACGATGATGAGACGATGATCAGAATTTTACTAAAATATACCGTGTACTTCATTTTAATCATATTGAAGAAAAAGGATGCAGAAACTGGAATATTTACATTTCATTTTAATTATA